AGGGGCACAGGGTTAGGCCTCCCAGATGGGGTCGGAGTAGATGGGGTCGGAGGATCGCGCCGCATCGCCGATGCATCGGCGATGCGGCTCGATGCGGAGCCTGATGTGCTTCGCGTCGACGTCGCCGATTCATCGCCAACGTCGACGATGCATCGCCGCTGTACCGCCGATGTATCGTTGATGCGTCGCCGATGTATCGGCGATGCGGCGCGATCCTCCGACCCCATTTACTCCGACCCCATCTAGGAGGCTTTCAATCTGGCGACCGAGAAGCCGCCGATCGTGCCAGGCTGAACGATCCACGCGGGGTCAGAAACCAGCGCCCGCGTCGTCACGGCGCGAACCAGCCGTGCACCGATCCTGGGTCCAGGCTCGGCGTATAGCGGGCGCCCTCATCAGGGGCGACGTTAGGCCGGGATAGGCTCGGGGGGGGGAATGCGTTGACCCCCAATCGTAAGTCGGGCATGTCCCTCTCCAGGAGGGATATCCGAGAATGGTAAACTAGTACGGGGAAGACTTTGACAACTTTTGTATTTTTGACTATTCTATTTTTCTTCTCATCGCCGATAAGGGGCCTGATAGCCCGACCCGCCCAGGACAGAGCGGACTTGATCTTGGTGGCCTATCGCCGATCTCTCGGCGACGTATCGTCGATTCCAGTTCGATGCTTCTCCCATGTGAGCTGGTCCCCTGGTGGTTTTCTGGTTATAACTCGGGCCTCCGGCAACCGTTCGGGACGATTCGGGAACCCTCGGAACGCGCTCGGCGAGGCGCAGCTGCTGGAAGGCATCCTTCGGCTGGGAAGTCTCCGAGGACCATGGACGACGTCCGAAAACCTCGAGCCCCGAGCCTCGAACGTTTCCCCCCGTCCCCTTATCGTTGCCCCCCCCCCACCCCACATTCGAAGAGGAAAAAACGGCATAAACATAAACTTTTGGCGCTCCGCGCGGATTCCTGGATTCCTTGGATCCGCGCTCGGGCCCCCCTGGCGGCGCCGGCGCGCTCCGCGCGCCGGGGAGGGGGCCCAGCGCGGGTCCAAGAGACTCGCGCGGAGCGCCCGAAGCTTCTGCCCGTGGCGTTTTTTTTCCCCTTCCGGCATCCCGCGCCAGCGCCGCCGTCGCCGAGCCCTCGGGCGGGCCATGAGCTTCCTCGGCGCCCGCGGCGGCTCCCTCGTGGCGGCGGGGCCGCACGGCGGTTTCGCGGCGGGCTCCCGCGGGGCCTTCGTCGGCGGCGGCGCCGGGGGCGGCGGGCCGCTCGTGGTCAGCGGGGTCCACCCCGGGATGGGCTACGCCGGAGGTCCGCACCTCCTCCTCGCTCGCTGCTGCCTCCTCCTCCACTTCCTCCTCCTCCTCCTCCTTCCCTCCTCCTCCTCCTTCCCTCCTCCTCCTCCTCCTTCCCTCCTCCTCCACTTCCTCCTCCTCCTCCTTCCCTCCTCCTCCTCCTTCCTCCTCCTCCTTTCCTCCTCCTCCTCCTCTCCTCCTCCTCCTCCTCCTCCTCCTCCTCCTCCTCGGTCCTCGTCGTTCCTCTCTCCTCAGCCCTCACTCCTCCTCCTCCTCCTCCTCCTCCTCCTCACAAATCCTTCTGCTCCTCCCTCATCCTCCTCCATCCCTCTTCCGCATTCAAGAGGCTTACGCCATTCCGCCGACCCCCAACGAGACACTCGATAGACTCTGCGCGAAAGGAAGGCTTTGACAACTTCTTGGGGGTGTCAAAGGCGTCGAGATCGTGGCCACCGTGCCTGGGCTGTGGGTCGGGAACGTCCCGAATGCATATGAGGGTCTCTTGATATGCACCTCAGGGCCTCTTGGAGGACTCTTGGGGGCGTGTGTGGAGGGCTTTTTGTTGCCTCTCGGGGGCCTCTTGGGGGCCTCTTGGGAGCGCCTCGGAGGCCTCTGGGGTGCTGTCGGGGCCATCTTGGGGGGAAAGGCTCGACATGTCACTTCGTAATTATGGCCTCTCTTCGTCCCTCTTGGGCGCCTCTTGGGGCCCTCCTGCGCCGTCTTGAGGGCCCCGGTGGCTGTCTGGGGGTCCTCCTAGGCCGTCTTCGGTTTTTCCCATCCCTCCTGTGTTGGGTTCTCGTTTTGAACAGAGCAGTTTGGTCTCCACCTCCTCCTCTCCTCCTCCTCCTCCTCCTCCTCCTCCTCCTCCTCCTTCTCCTCCTCCTCCTCCTCCTCTCCTCCTTCTCTCCTGTTTCCTGTGTTCCCTTCTCCTCTTCTCTCGTGCCGTCTGGTTCCTGATTCCTGCCTCGCCGTCTTGTCTGTTGGGTGGGCGTGCCTAGGGGTTGCGACACTTTCGTGGGCTTCTGGGAGGCCCAGCGGAGGTACGTCATACGCATATCACCTCGGGACCTCGCTGCCCCTTGGGGGGCTTGCGATCTGCGAAACTGTCGGCACTTTCGTGAGCTACTGGGAGGCCCAGCGGAGGTACGTCATACGCGGACCACCTCGAGACCTCGCCGCCCCCTGGGGGGCTTGCGATCTGCGAAACTGTCGGCACTTTCGTGGGCTTCTGGGAGGCCCAGCGGAGGTACGACATACGCGGACCACCTCGAGACCTCGCCGCCCCCCTCTCAGGAGGGGAAAAATCACACAGGCACAATTAATCGTGGACTCCCTGAAAAATAGGAAAATGTGGCAAGTTGGGGGGAAGGCGAGAACCGAGAACATATGGGAAATGCGGGGAATCCTGGGATTTGTGTCTATTCATTTGTGTATCCCAGGGCTCCTTCAGCCTCCACCGAGAGAAGAAGGATCCCGATCTCGCTGGTGGTGGTACGTCATGCTCGGGCTTCTAATAAAGGTGGCCGTTGGACTGCCTCCAACGTCAAAATCTAGTTGATTGTCTTTCCCTGGTGGAGGACCCCGCCGTGCTGGTGTCGGTGCCCCCGCCCCTTCCAAGCCTCCAGCCCGTGGCCCCACGTCACAAAACAGATGCGGCACCCGAGGAGAGGAAGTCGGGCATGTCCCTCTACAGGAGGAGTATTCACAACTAGTCAAAGCATAGTCTGGGGATGCTTTTTTGCTTTTGAGCATTTTTGGATATTTGTGGAGTATTTTTGGACTATTTTGGATTTTCGTCCAAATTTTTGGATTTTCATCCAAAATCCGCCTGTAGGAGGGCACGCCCGACCTTACTCCAGGTGGCGGTGCCCACGCTGGCGGCTGTGAGGCGGGCTGCGGAGGCGTAGGCTGCGGCAACAGCTGCGGCGCGGACGGGTGCGGAGTGGGTGTGGCGCCGGCGTGCGGTGACGCGTGCTGCGGGGTCGCGGGCGCCAGCTGCGGGGGCATCGCCGGGACGACGATGGCGTACGTGGGCGTAGGTCAGTATCGTTTCAACGATCCCTATCCCCATGCCCATCCCCAGCTCGACCCCATCATCCCACCACCCCAGTTGGGGATATACCCCTCAAAACCCAAGGCGAACAGCCTGTATCCCCATCTAGGTGGGGAAATCTTCCAGTGGGCCCAGGCCACACCGGTGGGGATAGGGATCGGTGAAACGATGCTTAGTAGGCGGCGACTACATTGCCACGACCACGTACCAGTACGTGGGCAACGGCGTGGGCACCTTCGCCGCGGTGCCGATCCCCGCGGCTGGGTGCAGTGCCTGGTGGTTGTGCTGCCTCTGGTGGCTGGCGCTGCTCCCCCTCCTCTTCCTCGCGGGGACCACCACGACCACGACGACGACCCCCTTCATCGTCAGCACCCCGCCTCCGGAGACCCCGCCGCCCATCGTGACCCCGACGCCGGCGCCCCCAGACGTCGGGCCCGCGAAGCACTGCAAGATCTTCGGCGACCCGCACGTGATCACGTTCGATGGGCAATCAGCGAGCTTCTACTCCCAGGGCGAGTACTGGACCGTCAAGAGCACCACGGTCTGGATCCAGGGCCGCTACATGCCGACTCCAGTGACCAACGGCCTCTCCGTCATGAAGGAGGTCGCGATCGGCGGCCCCTTCCTGGAGGGCAAGGACGGCAAGAAGAACGTCCTCCGCATCTCCTCCCTCAGGGCGACCTTCAACGACGTCCCCATCATCCCCAGCTTCCCGGACGCCTGGGAAAACCAGGACCCCATGATCAAGGTGGTCACCGACGGCAACGGGCAGGTGATGCAGTCGAGCCGCTACGGCAAGGAGCTGCACGTTGTGCACGTGGACCTGCCGCTGGGCGTCCACCTGGAGATCAACCGCTGGAACGAGCCGGGCGAGGGTGACTACATCAACACGATGATCACCATGAGCGCGCAGCCAAACCAGGACGGCCACTGTGGAAACTTCAACGGTGTGCTTGAGGACGACACCCGGCCGCAGATCCGCGCCCGCATTGGCACCACGGGCGTCCCGGCAGAGGACCTGCTCTTCCACACCAAGACCCCCGTGACGGCCGCGAACCGGCCGGACCTCAACAATTGCGCCACCGACAAGGCCGAGAACGCCAGGCATCGGAGGTTGATAGACCTCCTACCCCGACGCGTCGATTAGCGAATTGGCCGTTTTCGGTGCGCGAGAGGGTGTCGCGGCCGTCCTCTTTGCGGGCCCAGGTCCGTCGGTTTCGGTCCTGGGCCGTTTTCGCTAAGGGGTGGTTCACTGAAGGAGGCCTGTCCACCGCCGAAGGCAGATCTGCACGGGGAAGTCCAAGACTGGCATGCCCAACCACGACTGCATGGTGGACGTGTGCTTCGGCGGGGCGCACTTCGCGGACATGACCGACTACGACTAGACCAGCGCGGGGCGGCACGCGACGCCATACAGCCAGCCATGCTGCTCTACACCGCATCTCGGGCAGTGTCCGGACGTGCAGGGTCCTTGCCAGTCGTACATTTGAGTCCGGCATGTCCCTCTACAGGGGGAGCGCTCAAAAATAGTAAACGATTTTTCCCAACCCTCCTGCGTTGGGTTCTCGTTTTGAATAGAGCACTGCTCGCGCGTCTCCTTCCTTCCTTCCCGTCCCTCTCTTCCCCCCTGCCTTTTACCTCGCTCGTCGCCATCCCTGGGGGGCTGC